AAATTAAACCTATTTGATTGCCAAACAGACAAGTGTGTATAAACACCTTCAGAAACATTCCAAGGTAGAACAGAAGAGAATTTGCTTGGACTTGTTTGCCCAGCTGCTGTCCTCCTTGAGGTGCAACTTTGTCCAGCTGGGAGGAATGATGTCCTCATGACTCCGCTTTCCAGCACCTTAGCCCTTGGAGACGCCACAGGTAGTGAATGTAAGTCCTGCCATCACAGCATGAGACTGAATGGATCTGGCACCTCAGACAATGCCTTCTCAGTGGTAAAATCTGAGAATTTACAGTGGGCTTATGCAAGTTTGACAGATATGTCCATCCTGCCCTCATACGTTGTGGGCTTTGGCTTGTAGAAGATTTGTGATTTAATGGTAGTCAGCAAATATTTATTTGTGGCTCAGGAATATGTCTTGTATGTAATATGGGAAGATCTCATTTAGTTGTAAACTCAAGACTTTCTTCCTTTTCCCCTAAATTGCCAAGGAAGCAATTTTTGAGATGTATTGCTGTGTTGATGAATTTTGACCTTGGAGTGATTCTTTGCTATTTTGTTTGAGAGAGTGTGACCATTTTTTGCCTTGCCTTTGGGACAAGTGGTGTTCTTTAGTTCTTTGATAAATCTATTAAAAGTAGCAAGTAAAAAAACCATAAAAATTCTGTATTGGTTTTTGGTTTAGTTTGTTGGTTGGTTTGTTGTTTGTTTGTTTTTTTGGGGAGGGTTTCCTTGGTTTTCTTTTTTTTGGTTGGCTTTGTTTGTTTTGTTACAAATAGTAAAGGCCTAATTGTAATTAGAGGTAGATGTGAATTTGAACCCCCCCACACACCTGTCTGCTGTAAAGAAAGCTATTTTTTATTTAAAGTCATCTTGTCTTTAACAAAAGGAATAATTCTAAGGTTAATTAAAAGGTGTTTGGTTATTTTTTTTCACCTAGAGACCTCTGTGACAGATAGGAAGGTAAGTGCTCTATTTCTGAAAGAAAGCACTATCTTTAGGAGTAAAGGAGATGTGTCTCTGTAAAAGGAATGACATGATCTATAATTTCTAGTCCTAGCTTTTTAAAAATTTATTTTAAGGAAAAGGGAAGGAAAACAAATTGTCTATTACTCTTCAAAAGCTTTTACTACTGCTCCAGGTACTTGGAAGATGCTGGTGCCACCACCTTTAGCTCAGCTGTCTCTTAAGTGGACTCATGTGAGGAGTGTAGTTAAATCAAATATATGGTACCAATTTTTTTTTTTTTTCCCCTGAAAAAATGTAACAAGCTACAGATCACTTTTTTTTCATTTAAAAAACACATGGAGGGCATCTCCTATGGCTTATGTTGGATGGAAGATCCTGCTGCCCCCTGTTCCTACAGCCCTACAGTGCCAGTTTCTGACCTTTTTTGCCATTCTTTCCTGCTTGTCTACTCATTTATAAATCTATCAGCCCCTCCAAGGTAACGGGGAATAAAAGGTGAATCTGCTCAGTAAATTTTGACAGGGAAAAAGATAAAGGAGAATATGGTGTCCTATGAGATTTGTGCTGATAGCTTTAGCTGTCTGACATTATCACTTGTGGTACACATAGTCCTTTAAACACATTATGGTTGGGTTTCTGTCTTTTTTGCTGTTTTCTCTGAGCTGCCTAGGTGAGCAGATGTTTGTGCTTGCTGGGAAGTCAGGGACATGTAGCTCTGCTGTGCCTGCAGCCCTTGAAAAGCTGGAGTAGAAGAATGTGCAGCTCTGGGGTCAGGGCAGAGGCTGATTTTGCTCAGCATCTAATCGGTCAGTAGAAACCATTTAGAGAAGTGAGAAATAAGATCTGGCTGTGAACAGGGTAACTTTTTTCTCCAGTATAAATTTTGAGCTATAGGCAGCCAGTGGCTTAGGAATTCCTTGTGCCAGAGGCTGCCTCCTGACTGCCTTTTTTTTAATGGCCACAGATGAGTTTCAGCTGTGCAGCAACCCCCCACCTGCTCTTTCTGCCCAGGGGCTCTCACCAGCCTCTCCTTCTAGGCAGGACCCAGCCCCAGGGCCAAGGTGTCAAATACACAAAGTGCCTGTGCAAATTTTGGAAATGTTAATGGCTGGGGAGAGGAGAGAAATCCAGACTGAGCTCTGGATTCACCACAGCACCAGCCTGGCAGTTTGACCTGCTGGCTTGCAGACAGGACCACATGTAGCATAGGATCAGCCGAAGCCTGGCCTGCAAGGACCAGTTCTTCACAAAAGCCTCTGTCTAAACTGAATGCTTTAAAAGGGGTGCTGCCAGCTGCCAGGTATTTCGTGTTTCAGAAATAAGTAGCACCACAGAGGGTTCTGCTGCTCTGTGAGGCTGGTTCATGAGTTTTGGTCTCTGATCTCTGAGCCCTGCCCAAGGGACTGATCTGGCAGCCCTCAATGGCATCAGTCTAAAGCTGTGACTTGCTGTGGGGGAAAAAAGGGCACACAATATGATTTTCCTCTTCAGCTGAACTAATTCCCACATTTTCCTCTTTCCCGTTTGATGTACAGGTTTTATTTGTCTTTCTCCAGCATTCAGTTTCCTTTGCTTATCTGCAATGCTGCAGCCTTGAATAACACCGTGTCCTTCCTAGGGATGTTAGCTAGAGGTTGCTTTCACAATTGCTGATTTTATGAACAACAACTGGAGAAATATTTGATAGCTGGTTCATTTGAAAGCATGATTGTATCTTGGGAACAGAGAACATTCTGTGCATTAGCAGTGCGCTCCCTTCTTTTGCCTCTGGGTCTTTGTTGCTAACCCCCTGGGGTACAGTGGTGGCAGCAAATGGGCACCATAATTAGGCCAGACAAGGTGAGAAGTATTGTGACTACAAGAAGACACTAGTAACTGTGACTCTAAGACACTGAAAAAGTGAATAATAGAAGCAGGTAACTGTGTTGTCTTTTCTGTGATCCTGTGGTTCAGCTCCTCTAAAGGAACATCAGAGCTTCCTGACATGAACCCTTGTATTCGGTACCCTTAGGAAATGTTCATTGTCTTTCCCACAGAATAGGGTGAATATATTTTAATACGGGGACTTCTGGATTTCAGTCACTTACCAGGCCATTGGTAACTGGTGTTGCAGTCTGTAGCTTTCCAAAAGTGAGAGAGGCTGTACTGCTCGGCCCTGCATCACTGATCAAGCTCTGTTCCTTTACTCAAAAATTTTATTCAATGTTTCTAAATTTAGATCCTCCTGGTAAAGGGGAGATAATCTGCTCTCTGAAGTTGAGAAATTACCCACAACAATTAGGAAGTGCTACAACCATTGGGTGATTCTGGTTGCATTTAAGTGTGACAGAGCTTCTCCCGATGGCTGCACAAGGGCTGCAGTGGTGTCACGGGGCAGGGAAGCCCAGATGTCTGCCTGGGTGGTTTAACAGACCTAATGCTGCCCTTCTGTTAGCCTGGTGTCATTCTTTGAGATTGCTGGTGGAAAGCACAAGCTAATTCACTGTGAGGGTGGTGAGACACTGGAACAGGTTACCCAAGGAAGCTGTGGATGCCACTCCCTGGAACTGTTCAAGGCCAGGTGGGATGGAACTTTGAGCAAGCTCGTCTGGTGGGAGGTGCACCTGCCCATGCAGGGGGGTTGGAACTAGATGATCTTTGAGGTCACTTTCAAGCCAACCCATTCCATGATTCTGTGATTCACCCACTTGGGATGGAGGTAAATCTGCAGCTCAGCTTCCCTAAGGAGGCTTGGGTCTCTCCATGGCAGGAGTGGTGGCTGCTGCTGCTGCTTGTGTCAGCAGTGCAGATCACAGTTGTTTTGAACTGTATGTAGCAGTTCAATTTCTTCTGCAAGAGTGAGCCAATGTTAAATTGAGATCAAGTGAAGGGCATTAAGTGAGCTCAAGTCAAAGACATTAATTTTAGCATACAGCATGTCTCAAATTTCCAACAAGTATGGAGACCTCATGTGCAAAAGTATCATTTCAAGTTTAGGTATTGTCTCAAAAGTGATAAAACGACTGCATCAATATGCCATTTTGGGCTAGTTTTCTTTACACAAAATGTGATTGATTTTCTCAGTTTCTCAGCTTTTTCTCAGTTATAAACATTTAGGATTGAACACAGCAGTGTGTGTGTGTATGTGATATGCGTTTGTGTATTTACATACAGCCACACTGTGGTAGACATGCTAATATATACATTCACACTATGCTACACTTACGTATAACTGATATGGGGTGTATCTTAAGTACTGTCTATGCCATCTCAAGAGAGCTGCATACAATAGATCTAGTATCTTGGTAAAGATACCAAAGGTAATAGTATACACTGGTTAGTGTTTGTGTGCTTTCTGGGCATATCAGAAGGAAAAGAGTAGGTAAATATGGAAGGACAGTGTATTGGAATATTTTTTTAAAAGCAAAACGTATCAAAATTTAATAAGTTGCTCTTTTCTGAATAAGAATCTAGAAAGGGGGAAGTTAGTGGTGAATTAAGTTGGATTTTTTTAGTTGATATTTGTTTAATTTTGTGTTATTGCAGAAACTGGAACACAAAGAAGTTTTGGTTGGCTTGTTGTTCCTGATTTTCCCGTTCATCCCAGCCAGCAACCTCTTCTTCAGGGTGGGATTTGTGGTGGCAGAGCGAGTCCTTTACATGCCGAGGTAACTATTGCAATTAAATAACTTTCTAATGAGACCACCGTCCCATCTTCTAAACACAGGCATAATTGCTTCTTCCCTTTTACAGTACTTTGAACATAGTGCTAGTCAGTGTGTTCTCTGCCTTTGAGTTTTGGCTTGATAGCATGAGAGTTTTTTATAGTCAGTTGAGAGCAGATTGCTTGGCAGGAGCAAAGCTATGCAAAATCCTTGTGTTTTTGGTTTTTTTTTAAACATAGATTTTTTTAGTGTGCTTGAAGCAGCTCCATAGAGTGATGATGTGTTATTTCTTGAGGATTGTCCTCCCAGACTATTTCTCTTGGTAGCATTATCAACTTACATTGTCCCTTGTCTTCACCTCAAGGACAGTATCTGAAAAGTTAACCTGTTGTATTTTTATTGTGGTAATGCTCTGCTTTCCCACTTCATTTGGTGGCCAGTAAAACCAAAGGTTAATAGTATTGCTGTCTTAAAAGGCTCCTGGCTTCAGTTGTGCAATATGTGCATGGCCTCCTGCCTGTAAACTATTGACTGCATGGGCATCTAGGGTTGGAGGATTTGCAGTTTTTCAAGAGGATGAGAAAAATCCATCCACTCCTCCAAGCCTGCAGCCTCTGCCCTGGGATTCCCCTGAGCTTCCAGCCTCTAACAATAGTCACTTCAGCAGTCTGGATGCTTCCAATTGCATTTACTGAAGGACAACTTTGAGTTGTTACTTCTGACATATCCACAGTATCTAGACCAGAGGCTGCAGTGGCAGGCAGAGGACAGTAATCCAAGATGCACCAGACTATTGCCCATATACACAAAGTAAAAGAATGCTTGAGGTTGTAAAGGACCTTTAGAGATCATCTGGTCCAAACTCCCTCCTCAAGGAGGGCCACCTAAAGCTGGTTGCCTGAGACCACATCCAGATGGATTTTTTAATAACTCCAAGGAGGAGACTCTACAGCCCCTCTGGGCAACCTGTGCCAGTGAAGTTTGTTACAGCCATGAGCATAAATGGTCATTCTTGAATACTGCAAGTCAGAAAGCCCACTTCTACTCTTGGGTGCAGAGGGTCAGCATTTCTTATCTCTGCTGGAAACTACCACTGTGTATCTGTTGACAAAGCCCAAGTCCTCAATTTCACTCTGGATTACTTTGTGATGACTGCAACATTACTTTTATGTCAAAAAGTGTTTAAATTGTATTAATGTGGATCAAAAAATCCCAAGGACAATGCTTACAGGTGATGTTTTGTAAAGCCATATGCATATTTTGTCAGTTGTCTGCATAAACTCTGTCAAAAAAGGGCTGCTCAATGGTACAAAACTCAAGCTGTGCAGGAGTTATTGCATTTCAAGCTTCTTATGCAGTTAGGCTATATCTCCATGTTCTGCTGTATACTGATTTAGTTTTTGGGTCAAATCCTGCTGACTTGATTAAACATCACTAGCTCTGCTTTTGGTTGCTGAGATTATACCTGGAACAAGCTGCCCAGAGAGGCTGTGGAGTCTCCTTCAACTGGAGACAAACAAAACCCGCCTGGATGAGTTCCTGTGTGATGTGCTCTAGGTGACCCTGCTCTGGCAGGGGGGGTTGGACTAGATGATCTTTCGAGGTCCCTTCCAACCCCTAGGATTCTGTGATTCTGTGAAGTATAGTGAATGAAAGTTGTCCCTCAGAGTTATTTTGCAAATGATACCCTCAACTAATGCATCTTGTATAATTTCAAATTAACTTGGAAATCAGATTGCTTTAAATTCCTGTAACAGAAAATGAGAAAACACATGAAAGCACAAAGCTATTAAGGAAACAGTCAGCTGAACATAGGGTTGTGTTGAGTGGTTGCATTTCTGAATCTCAAAAGAACAACTGTGGAAAATACTTCAGCTGTCAGCAGTTCCTCGTCCTCCTCCAGATGAGACTGCTGATATAATGAGAGGAGGGGCAATGAAGAAGAAAAAAAGGGCTATGTTTGTGCAGAGAAAATCAGCGTTAACATGTGTGCATATAGTTTGTATAATGCTTTTCATGCCCCTCAGGGCTTTTCAGATATATGACCTACAAAGTAGGTAATTGATAGTTGCTGCTTTTTTTTCAGGCAGGAAAGCTGAGGCAGGAGGATTAAATGATTCCTCTGGAGTAAGTTTGTGTCAGAGCCCCTGGACCTCATACTTTGCTCAGATCACTCGTGTCCTGGTTTGCAATATTTGTTTTTTGCTCTTACCCCAGGCTGGCAGGCAGGTGTCATGAAAAGGGAAGGCAAACCCTGCAGTTTGCTGGAGAGGTGGGAAGTTTCTAGCTAAAGGACCTGGAGAGAGCTGAGCTCAGCTCTTGCCTCCGAGTTACCAAGAAGTGAGCTCTCTTGCGTCCTTGGGGTGCAAAATGACATGAGTTGTAAAGGGGGACTTCTGTGAACATTCATAACTATGTCAGAACAAAAACAATATGGTTTGTTTTGTTTGTTTTCTTTTTTTCTGTTGGGAGTGTGACAGTTTAATAACAATGGCTTTAGGAAGGGCTCATGTTCTTTATTTAGAAAAGCCTTTAGATGTTTTCTTACATTACATCCTCAAAAGTGCTTTGCCATTCCTTCTCTAAAACTCAGTTAGAAAGATAGAGGTTGTCATTTAGCTTTATTTAGACAAAAGTCCTCAAACAGATGGAGAGAACTTGGTGGTCTATGTTTTTGGGCTTATGCTGGAAGCTGTTTTTCTATCTATTTCAAATAATAGCTTTTTATTAATATTTATGGATGTGACAGTTGCATATGTATGTCACAGCCTGAAGTCCTAATTCAGTGTTGCTTAGTAGTTACCTGGGCAAAATATGAAGCACTTTCTTTTCAATAAAAGTTAAGGACCCAATGGTTTATGTAAGAGATCTTGTAAACAGAAAGGAGCAAGGAATAAGCCTTTTGCTTGATGTCTAATTATATGGCTGGGCCTTGCCCACTGGGGATTGATGGGTATTTGGAACAATTCCTCTTCTGTCTGCAGACGTGCCTCGGGGGAGAGGGATATAAGCTAAGTAAAAATGGTTGAATGTTTCCCTTAATTTGCTTTAGTAAAACAGAAATACTAGAAGAAAAAAATTCTTGTCTTTAGTTTTCATTTTAGGGTTATAAGCGTTCATTTTTTTTAAATAAGGAATTGTTAATAGTAATACTTTGGCCTGAAAATTTAACAGGACAATTATTTATTATCTTTTAAATTTCAATTTTGTTGTTGTTTTAGTATCCTTAAGAGGAGAAAACATTTTCAGGAGGGCTAGGATATAAAATATCTATCTTGGGAGCAACGGGCAGGATACAACTCTATAGGCCACAGTTTGCCAAAGAGACATCACAACAAATAGCTGGATCAGTGAAAGACTTAAATCACTTTGGGTTTTTCTGCCTTCAGAATGTAGATGTAATTATGTTTACTGTGTATCTGCTAATGCTGCTTAGAACACCACAGGCAGCCAAATTGTTTGAAAATCTAGAATGACTGTGTGCAGCCAGTTGTTCTGAGCAGTAAGCAATTTGTCTATACTTAAACTTGAGCACTGGCTCTTCCTTTCTGTTGCCCTTCCCCATGCAGAAGTTGGAGAGGCAGTGCAAACTCTTGGGTCATCCAGGAGCTTTCTGCCCTACTGATGTACCAGCAAAGCTGGTCACCTCATGGGATTGGAGCTTTCTCACCAGAGCAATTTCTGTGTTTTCCTCATCTTTCACTGCTATCCTGATAACAGTGGCTCCTGGCTGGGCTGATGTATTGTAGCTGGACAACTTAAGCTGTTTTCACAATCTTGTATGAACCAACAAATCACCCAAAACATTGCTACATGCCCTATTTCCAATTTGCTGAAAGCAACAGGCAATTCACTGGTACCTGCACCGTTTTCATGGCAGCTCATTTGTGGTGGGGATTGCAGAGTGCACAGTTACCAGCACAGGCAGTCACAGGTTGCTGTCATTTTTTTCAGCAGCTCCTCACTATATCAAGAATTGCAATGCTAATTGTCAGTACTAGAAGATGAGAATGCTCCTATATACAGGATGGCATTTGCTTCAGCATCTATCTCAGAATCTGCAAGAAAGCCAGCATGGAGAAAAAAGCACACTTGTTTTCTTCAGGAACTGAACACATCATATGAAAGCTTTCCTTGAGCCATACCAGAGCAGGAACAATAAGAATTTTTGCCTTTGCATAAAGCATGGGTTTTTTGTTCTTTGTGCTGATGCATTAATTTCAATTACTGTAACTTTTATTATATTAACATTATTAGCTTTTATAATTTGGAAAAAGAACCTGGTAGGTAGTGGAATAATCTGTACTTTCCATGAACTTGAATATCCTTGAGCAGAAGTCTCCTTTGCTTACAAGGCAACTACTTAAGGAGACTTCCTGGTGTTTTGCTTTCCTGGGAGCATGTTATGCTCTCCACATTATCTTCATTTTCTTAAAGGCCAGTCGTGTCATGGGGTGGTGGTGGGTTTTCAGTTTGCTTTGCCACACCTGTCTTTTAACTTTATTTGAATCTATAAGTTCACCAGAAGCTGAATTCCTTTTAACCTGTATAGAATTCCTTCAGTATTGCATCAGATCCCTTAAGGAATCACCTGATTTGCAGAAGTAAGTTCTCTTTACAATTTGAGTCAAACTGTGACCCTAGAGAAGTCAGCAGTGAAAGGCTCCTTAACTCATGGTTTGGATAGGTGTAGACTTCACTGGGTACAAAACTGACTGCCTGGCTGGGCCCAGAGAGTTCTGGTGAATGGAGTTAAATCCAACTGGTGGCTGGTCACAAGTGGTGTTCCCCAGGGCTCAGGATTGGGTCCAGTTCTCTTGAATATCTTTATCGATGATCTGGATGAGGGGACTAAGTGCTTACTCAGTGAGTTTGCAGGTGACACCAAACTGGGTGGGAGTGTTGATCTGCCTGAGGGTAGGAAGGCTCTGCAGAGGGATTTGGACAGGCTTGATCCATGGGCCAAGGCCAATTTTATGAGGTTCAAGAAGGCCAAGTGCCGG